AAAGTGATTGGGGATTTGTTGCTGGTTCGGCGACGATCAGATGGAAATCAAACCGATCATGTGCTCCCTGGAGAATTGTTCACATTTCTCAATCGACAATGATCCCGGCTATATCTCTTCTATTGGCGATTCTTGGAAATTGTTAATGAAAGCAGTTGCGCTAACAAAGCTGCAACTCTAGGTCCGCAAGTCCATCCGATCTTGGACTCCTCGCAAGACCCTCCAGCCCGGTACCGTCCTGATCCTCCTCGCTGGCCGTTTCCGTGGCAAGCGCGTCGTCCTCCTCAAGACCCTCGACCAGGGTGTCCTCCTCGTCACTGGCCCCTTCAAGATCAACGGTGTTCCCCTGCGAAGAGTCAACTCCCGATATGTCATCGCCACTTCCTACAAGGTCGACATCTCCGGCTTGGACGAGGCCAAGATCGAGGAGGTCTCTCAGCCCAAGTACTTCACTGCCGAGAAGGCCAAGGACAAGGCTAGCCAGGAGGCATTCTTCAGCCAGGGAGAGAAGCCCCAGGTACGTCTTACAAACAAAAAGATATTGTTGCACAAAAAAGTTAATGAGGTTACTGACAAATCACCACAGAAGAAGGAGATCAACAGCAGCCGCGCTGCTGACCAGAAGGCCATCGACAAGGCCCTGATTGCCAACATCAAGAAGGTGGATTTGCTGGCCAGCTACCTCGCAAGCACCTTCAGCTTGCGGAAGGGTGACAAGCCCCACGAGATGGCGTGGTAGATTTAAGAAAATAAAATCTTGCGCTGAAAACGTGGGGAGGGTTCACGAGGGGAGGGTGGTCAAGATGGGGTTGTAGAACGGAATGGGTCTCCGAATTAGGCTGGTTTGGCCAATTGCATTTGGAAGTCGACGGCATCGGTCACATCTTGGCGTCTGTAATCAGGTTTTACAGTCAAAAAACAAAACGAGCATAAATGATTTCCACCAGGCTTCTGGTGATTGACGGTGATGACACTTTTTAATCGCTCATCGAAGCGCATTCCTGTCCGGAGACGATGAAGACCATAGATCTACAACTACTGGATAATAACACATTGGCTTCTCTACATAAGAGGAAAATGGGACAAGACAAAATTGCTCCGAGGTTGCTTCTCTATTCGTTTCATGCCTGTGATATCTTTACAAAACTTGCTCTTTTCTTGGTAATTTCAGAGCGCCAACCATACTGTCTTCTTTTACAGATTCCTATCGGCCCAACTCTCAATCATGCCCACGAGCGTGGCGTCGTAATGCTTGATAGATACGCTGCCTGTCGCTTCATCCAAGGTAGTGTTGGCCTGGATGAACACCTTGCGAGGTTGCTTGTTAGCAAGGACGACGTCGCGGACCTTGGTGCCCCAGAAGTCTAGGCCAACATTCGTCATATCGTTATAGAACTTGCTACCATTCTCAACGTCGGCAGTGGACTTGTAAATATGGAGCTTCTGCAGGTAGTTGGCAACGGCTAGATTACATCGTTAGCATGCTTGACAAGCAAATCTCACTCTTTGGCTGGCGATTCTTACCCTCGCGACCAGCTGTAAGAATCTTGGATCGATCCAATTTGATAGTCAAATCAGACAGGTCGTCCTTGGCGTAGTCCAACTTGCAGAAGTCATCAGTCGCTTCTAGAAAGCACTTGAGAATAGAGAATCGAGCTTGACTGTGAGCCTGTCCCCACTTCTGGCTCTTGGGATCCCACATCTCGAGAGAAGCCAAACCAGCTCGAGCCATAGACAGGTAAGAGGCATATAGAACATCTCCTGCTTCGTTGTTGATGTCTTCGGTACCGTCTCCGAAGCCAAAAATTTTCAGCACGGGGAACTCACAGCTTAGATGCATGGCAACTAGCTCAGCTCGACATTCCTCGTATGAAGCGGCAATGCTTCCGAAAACGGAGCCCCAGGTCTTGCCCGGTCCGTACCAGGTGGTAATGGGCTTCTTGGTAATGGGGCTAATGGGAGGGTTCTCCTTGTCGAAGTTGTAGACACCAGGTGATGTCTCCTGCAAAAGCTTACCGCAGCCATGGCCTACAATAAATTAGTACGGCATATAGCAATTTCTCAAGAGCACAACATACCAGTGAGCTCATGAAGTCCGACCTGGACCTCGAATGAAGCGTCGCGGTTTGCCTGGTATACAGCCAAATCCTCATCTCTAATGAAAGGAATCTTCTCATTAGGAGCCTTGGCACTCAAAACGTTGCCGAGAGAAACGTTCTTGAAACCCTCCGTTTGACGGATGTCGTCGTAGTTCGGACTATAGATTATTAGTCTAGCACTTTAACATCGAGTCACACCTTTAAATCCTAAGAAACTCTGACGTACATGTTAATACCAGCAGGGATACCGGAACCTAAAAGAATAATTAATACTATTACAAGATAACAACAGACTGATGCCTACCTGCAAAAGTCATGACTTCCAGAGAAGTAAAGTCAGGGGACAAAAACTTGTCCTTCTCGAACTCTGAATCCCAAGGCAACAAGGGGATTAAGCTAGGAGCAGCAGAGACAAGCTCGCCAAAAGCACGAGTTCGTTCCTCTAACAAGAATATAAGCAAATACTAATCATGAACTGCAAATGAAGTGTGTATCTTACGATTGACCACTGCAGTACTCGTTAGCAACTAGATGTGATATACCAGGAGACGTATGCAGACTTACTGGATGCGAAACCCTCCCATTCACCACGGACACCTGCAGGGTCACGGTAGGTCTCAATAAACCCAATATTGCTCTCAACGGTAGGGCCCTTGTCCTTAATCCAGAATCGCTGGCTGTCCTTGAATGCCTCCAGAGAACCAGTCTCAAAGGACTTGGCATACGCCAAATGCATGTTCTTTTGGTTCTCGTTGTCCGAATTGGCGGCGGCTTGCTTGATGTATTCGGTAATGCTCTTCATTTCCTCGGTGTAGTCACCATATGTCAGTGTGATGGTCTTGCCCTTCAACTCGCCATCGTCCAAGGTAAACTTGGTCTCCTTTCCAATGTCGCCACCTTCCTTTGGAACGCTAGTCAATGCTGAAGCAATGAGAATCTCGAAATTGCCATTAGCATTTTTGCCAAGTCTTGTGTTCTCTGGAAGAAGCCCCTTCTTCTCCATCCAAGCAGAGACGGCCTCAATTTCCTTCTTGGTGATGGTGGCGGATTCGGGATAATAGGTAGTCATGTGGCCGGCATCAGGGAATCCGAGATGCATAGCAGCTTGGTTGTCGTGGCTGAAAATGGCACCCTTGGTGGCCTCGTAGAACTTGGTAGCCTCGGGGGAGGTGGCTGCCAGCGCAGAAACGGTGTCTTGGGTGCATCGTGGGATGAACTTGGAATCACCAAAGCTCTTGTAGTTGCCATTGTTGCCAAGGAATTGGGCAGCATACTCGAGGAACAGAGCAAGCTCCGACTCTTCGACGCCAGCCTTCTTTGCTAGCGCATTCCAGTCATCACCAGCAGACTTGTAAAGGGTGATGATCAAATCATAGATAGGCTCTGACTCGGGAGAGAGTTGTCGCAGAACAATTCTGGTACCAGCAAAAGCGGCCCTGAGAAGCAATTGGTTAGGTGAGGTTTGTATTTTGAAGGGTAGTCACTAATAAGAGAATCAGAGCATAAGACTTACTTGCTAATGAAATGAGCGTAGCGCTTCTGCTTGTCATTCAGGGTTGAGAAGTGCTTCTCAATCTCAAGGCGGACAACCGAAGGCGGCTGATCAGCCAGGTAATGCTTAAGTTCCTCGGGCTTCATGGTGGGCGATACTAAAGAGTAAAACCTTGAGAGAAGGACTCTGTTAAGAGGTTGGAGGGGAGAAGGGGAAGAGTGAAGAGGACGTTTAAGGATTGGACGGTTGAAAGCAGCAACTCTCAGCGAAGTAAGTCTTGGGAGTCTCCGAGAGATGAGGGGCAACGAGAGGGAAGACATTACCCCGTTCGGAGTAGAAGGAACTTGGAGAGCTGTCAGTGGCTGGAGCTTGAACCAGCCAGTTTCTGTCAAGGGAACCTCCAACTGAACGGTTTCTCACGGCAAGCGCAAACCTTGCAAAAGGTCCTGCACTCTCTTGTCGGTATGTACTGCATCAAAGCCACAGTATAGCCAGAAGCAGTTTAGGGCAGAGACTCTAGCGGTTAACGAACGGCTGAGGCACAGGACTTGTGTGAATGATGTGGCTCATGCATAGACGGCGAGAAAAGTGGCATCTTGCTGATAGAATACTGGATAGTGTATGATATGATGCTGAATGAAAAGGTAGTCTAGGTAGTTGCAACAATTTTCCGATGCTCCTGTTTTCAAATATATTTCCAAAACTGGATGTCCACAACTATGAGCCTCAAAATTTCAATGGTAAATTAAATCAAAAGATGCATTTGTTCGATATTGCAAACCTGTCTTGCATAACCACATCTTGCGCCACAGGCGGGGTTGCCAGGATTAATTTGGAGGGTGTGGTGGTGGCAATGGCGGGGTTGAGGGGCAAATGGAAGCCCTGGGAAGTTTCCATACCTATAGAGACATAGTAGAGCTCTGAAACTAGCATTGCTATATTGGATGTATATCTCCAACGTTGAAAACATGGAGACAGAGAAGAAAGGCAAAAAAACATCGAAATCTACTTTTAAAATCCTTAAAATCCCTACAAAGTCACACAAATTATTTGTCTGGATGATCTCCATGGTCGTCATTAGGGTATGTATCACATCCCTTGCTCTGACTGGGGCTTTGACCAGCGTCTGGAATTCTCCACATGAGGGGTAATCATGAACTGGAGACTTTTTACAAAAATAATCCTGTGTTCAGGGCTCAAATTTCTCGTATTGAATACAATCAAGGCCAACTGTAGGCTTACTAGCAATCTCTCTTTAGCAGGTAGAAAGAGGGTACACTATTTGCTCACATTCATAAATTACCTGACCAAAAAAGAAATTTCAAAGTAAAATGGGGCCCAACACAATTTAATGCATCCATGGATAATGTGTGTGTAGTGACAGAGTCCCAAAAAAAAAACTATAGGGATAGCCCCTGGCGGACTCGAACCACCAATCTCAAGATTCACTTGTTATAGTAGAAGCTAATTATTGTTAGTCGGTTGAATCGAATACTGATCCATCATCATGGAGTGATACTCACTCTTGCGCCTTAGCCATGGCCAAGGGGGCCGGAAATGGGTGAATGATGCCCAGTAGAGAGAAGAGGACTTTGAAGCCCACCGAACCCCCAGACCCCTGAACTCCACCGCAATGTGGGATATTTGTAGGCAAGGTGCATAATCATAACTCATCATCTGCACAACAAGACAGGGTTCCTTAATCGGAAACGAAAAAAAAAACAGTGGATTTCCGTTGTTAAAGTACCTAATCGGATTCATTCTCATCTGCAACGTGGAGACGTTTTACAGCTCAATTTACATACTACAATGCCCTTTCAATGAAGCCCTGTCGACGATGCTTCGAGACCAATCCTACGGGGTCACGAGATGCTCTTGTTTACTCCTCCCCCGGGACGCAGGGGCCAATGTCTGGCTTCTGTGCAAGTACAGAGTAGGTACTAGATATTTCTGATTACGGAATACAGAGAGAGGAAGAGAGGGAGAGAGTACCTAACGAGAACCACGGTGTAATACCGTTGATGAAGCATGACTTGACGGGGAATTAGACATAATATTCCTAAGCTGTTTCCTTTCCGCCTTGCATTGGTGTAAAGTTGAGCTACTCGGGTGCTAATGATATGCCCGCCGTTTTCATGCCATTTTTGTCACAATTTTCAGTCATACTATACCAAATATGCTATGGGATCTCGATCATTTGGGAGAGCTGAGAGGCTTATTTAAGACACGGGATTAGGAACCAACGTCAAAATACTCCTAGTAAGGGTAGCATCGGTGGTACAAGTGGTACTTGTACTACAAGTAATAGATGGAAAGCGTGCGTAGTGTTGCGTTGGGCGGTGATTGACTGATGGGTGTGGGTGGGTGTGTAGGTCTGATGAACCAACTGCGAACTCGTCGAAAATCATGACAACTTGGAACCTTGAGAGCTCATTTCCTTGCTGAGATGCCTAGAAGGTACTAGACAAGTATCGCATATATGATTTGCTCACCTGAACAGAACTCCCCAGTATTCGTAATGCGTGTTTTCAATAAATAGGTGGTGCCCACTTTAACCTACATACCTGTGGGCATACCTGTGGGCATACCTGTAGGTATACCTACGGAGTACATGATCACGCATGATTTTGGGCAGAGAAGAAGAAACCTTTGAGTGCTTGCAGCCGATAAACCGTTGGAAGTTACCGAGTACAAGGTATTTGTAACCCAATGCCCATGAAAAGAAAGGTTTTTCTGTTGGATACGACGTGACTTGACTGGTGGAGACATATTTTTCCGGAGTTCGCCGCCCGATGCAAGTGCGTCCAGCAAACGTTTGCGTGAGCAAGGTCTCGATGCATGCATGCATGTATGCAGGCAGGAAGGAAGGAAGGAAAGTAGGCAGGCAGGCATGCAGGCAGGTAGGCAGGTAGGCAGGTAGGCGCTCTCTCTTCTCTTCGCTCCTCTCACACGTTAACTGACGACATACCAAGATAAAAAATACGTACGAGGGAATACGCATAGCCACTCGATTGGCCTCTCTTTATCGGATCACCGAGGCGAAGTTACCCAACAATAAATGCATTCATTCCGTAACCGGCAGCTTCCTGGTTTGACCAGTTTAACCAGGTGACTCCAAAGCAGCATCATCCTTGCATACGCATACGCATACTGGGCGACACTTGAATCTGCCCCTTGATGGTACAAGTCCGCATACAGGTATGTAAGGTGCGCACAAGTAACATGTTCCTAGCAAAAAAAAAAAAAAAAGGGATGTATTTCCCCGAGCACGAAGCGAAGTGAAGCGAAGCGAAACGAGAGAGTCAGAATTGGCCTACAGGTCCCCTCCTCGTCTTCTCCGTGCCTAACGGTTGACCCCCACGCTTTTTATGCTTAGCGGGCCAAAGCCCGGCCTGTCTTTCTACCTTGAAAAAAACAGTGACGTCCGTTGGGCTCGTTCGTAGAGCCTCAAAGAGGGAGGGAAGAGGGGGGAGAGGGGGAGTGTGTGTGTGCGTTGACTCGTCAGGCTGCAGGGAGGCCGTTGGCCAAGGTCAGTCACACAGTCCGTCAGGTCAGGTCAGTCAAGTCAAGTCAGTGAGCGAGAGTGAGCCTCACTTTCAGTCCAGTAAGATCATTGGTCTCAGTGCATTGACACAAGCCCCAACATTTTCCCATGTTCAGCTGCGCCAATTCTGAGTCCAAGTCCCTCAAGTCCAACCTAATTCGCTTCTAGTCCACCACCATTGGTTTCGTCATTCGTCACCGACTTTTGTTCGAATCTTCTCACCATAGTCTTCTTATCCTGGCTCAATGACAGGGGACGGACGGCACCGATCTGGTCAAGATTTGTTGACCCGGCACTTTGGAACCGCGTTGATCACACACACGCACACACACGCACACATACGTACGTACGTACGTAGCGCCACTGTACGAAATACACACTATCCCTATCTACATCTACATACATACATATACATACACATATACATACGCAACGTTCAGACATGCATACGACTAAAGCACAGTATTAATGTATGTACGTGGTACGGCCAAAGTCCCTTGTTCTGTTCGATGACCATGTGGCACCTCTCATGCACGCAGCCGAGGAAAATAAACGGTTGGTTGGTCCATGCCAACTCACGTCGATGGGAGCATTGTCCACCACCACCTTGTACCCCTTCCTTCATGGCATGATTCTTTTATCATCCCTTCTCGGATCACTCTCAGCCGGCCGACCACCATGGTCACGATGGATCGACACACCGACCACCGCGGACCGGAATACACCTCCCGCCTTGTACAAGTAGTACAAACCAGAGTCGAGCGCTTGGGGACAGTGGCATGCTTCCCCGAGAGACTATAAGAATGAATGCTCACCAGGTACTCGTACCAGGACGGTACCATACAAGCAACAGACACTGGGTGCTAAACGAATCTATACTTTGGATCGCTTGTCCAAGCGGCCGCCGTCCACGGGAAACACACGAGGCAAACACGGGTCGTGGTTCAGCGTTGCATCCGGTGTGCACCGCGCGCCCCCATTTTCCCCATCCTGTGGAGCCCATCCATGTTCCTTGGTACCTTTAGCTACATAGGGCTAAACGTTTTTTGATGCTTTCGTCGTCGACTGCAAAAAAGGGGTATGTCCCGGCGCCTGAATACCGAATCAAGCAACGCCATTTAGCCATGTCTATCGACATCATCAACGTCATCCCGCCCTGTGCCTCGACACCCACTAGGAGACACCCCGGCCCATCTAGGCTCAGGTAGCCAGACAGGGGAACAGCGTAGAAAAAAAGGAAGAATTGGAAAAAAACAAAAAAAAAAAAAAAGAACGCAAGGGCCATGACTTGGTTAAACCGGGTCCCGGCATACTTGCTGGCTCAGCCCGACTGGACCAGCCGGTAATTAGGAGCCACTCCCCTCCCCAGACTCGAGAGCTAAAGACTCGGCATTGTGTCACCTTGGAGAAGACTTTTGGGCCTATAGAACGAAACCGGCGGTACGGTTTGGGGACCCCCTCCCCTGGTCCGATTTTTTTTCTAGCTCGTCGAGGTTGTACTCCATGCTTATTTTGGGCCTTATAAAGAGGCAATGTCTGCCCTCGGTCAGTTCACGGCAAGTCTTTTGCCCAGCCTGTGCCCAGCCTAATTCATACGGTACCGATTATTGCCTGCTTGCCTGCTTCGCTTCTATTTAATTCGCTCTTCTGCACTTTGCTGCGCGAATATTCCATCTTGCCACGACATATATCTATACATATACATATATTGGGTCTATTGTCTACTTGAACGTTATACAACGGTTTTCTGCTTCAACCCAACTTTTCCACATAACCCTTGTTGGACCATATATACCCATTCACATACCTTGAGGAATCACAACAGCACCACACCGACATTGTTCTAGCAAACACAATAAAGGAAAAGCCTCTGTCCGCTTGTCATACCATCACCCAATCCTTTTATAAGAACCAAACACACCTTCCTTCCAAAATGTTGTCATATGATCCCCCCGGGGCTCTTAAGGGACAGGACTCTACCCCTGCAACCACACTTGCCTCAAACGTTAAAGCTGCTGCCGTCGCTGCTGCGAAGAATGCATCTCTCACCTCCGCAACAGCAAATAACGGAGTACCAACAATGAACCAAAAGCAAACGAATACCCACATCTGGCTGGTTACCGGCCCGGCAGGTTGTGGAAAGTCTACCGTTGCTGAGCATCTGGCAGAAGCGCTTGGCATGCCCTATATTGAGGGCGATTCGGTACGTATTAAGAATAATATGGATGCCCTCGGCGCAGTGGATCAACTTACTAACAATACTGGTAACAGTTTCATACTACGGCCAACGTTGAGAAGATGAGAAACGGTATACCCTTGACGGATGCAGACCGCTGGGACTGGCTTACAGCCCTGCGTGAAGAGTCTATGCGCCAAATCAGTGAGGGCTCGGCGGGTGTGATTCTGACTTGCTCAGCCCTGAAACGCAAGTACAGGGACGTTATTCGAGTGGCAGCATACTACGACCACCACCTCCTCATTCACTTCATTTACCTTGATGCCCCAGAAGAAGTTCTCCTGCAACGTGTCATGAGCCGACAGGGCCATTACATGGGCGCCAACATGGTCCATAGCCAGTTTGACATCCTTGAGCGACCCTCGGAGAGCGAGAAGGACGTCACCACCATCGACGTCAGCCGATCCATTAACGACGTGTTGCAGGACGCCCTAGATAGGGTTATTCAGGCCATGTCAAGTGATGACAGCAACCAATAGAAAACGCTTCGCTTCACCACGGTGTAACCCGGCAGCGGGCGGCTATCGGAAACAACGGCATTATACTTTCTTGTCCCTATTGAGGGTTTATCACGGATATGCGGCATTCATCTAGACTTCTTCTCTTGTCCGGGGGCGCGATATTCCCCTGCTACTTTTTTCTAATTTCTTTAGGTAGACTTACATGCGATTCACGGGCTTGGGAACTGCCAGCAATGGCACTTGTTTTTACAGGGGTACTTTTTTTTCTTTTTTCTTTTCTTTTACTGTTGGTTGGCCAGTTGGCATCTTAAC